ATCAGAAGGTAACAGAGAACGAACAATGCACAAGCAGTGGATGGAATATCAAATAGAATAAGAAGCCAAAATCGAACAATGCGTGGCAGAGAAATTTCACTGGTGTAGGATGAACTGCTTCCTATATCATTAGAACTTTGGTTGCCAGTCATCACTGAAAGTTTCAAAACAACACTCTAAGTGAAAATGTTTTGCATGTGTCCTGTTTTACCATAAAATCCACACCACGATCAAGTACGGCACGAGCTGCTCGTTGCGACACATTTTGACTAGCGAGGGTACAATACATTTTAATACGGCACATTCTGACAATATGGTTCAAACTTACTATGTCGGTCATTCGTTTTTTTTCTAAAAAGGAAAGTTATAAGATCTGTACAATTCGATTCCATTTAATTTTTGATATTCTGAGAACTCAAATAAGATCTTGAGATCTCTCCGATCTCCGTCTGACGCATTCAGGTTAGTTCTCTGTTGATCATCGACAAGCATCGCAATGTTCTCGAATAATAAATAATTGAGAAATCTTTAAAAAAAACTAATTCCTATAAAAATATATAAGTTTCCTATATTCGACCTTTTTGCTTGCATACACCTATTTGTTGAAAATAAAAGGGTGAATGAATAGGCTGCAGATAGCATGAAAGAAATCTATATACGACGCATTTTCGTCATTAAGTCTGGGGTAACAATAATTGACCGCGTTCCAGATCGAAAACCGAAGCGACCGAACAACGCTCATTGGTCGTTCAATAAATATACATGATAAATATGAAATACATTTGATCTAAAAGATAAAGTTTTTGTATTGCGCATATTCTGCGTACAGAATACATGAAACTAATTACAGAATTATGAGCTTAATATGTAAATTAATGTGCACGTTTACGAGAAATTAAAATGTGCAAAAAAAATAAAAATATTCTGACGAAAATTACAACAGCTTAGAATTTTAATAATGAATTTTATAATTTACCGAAAAAATTCGAAATTTCCCTGCCACATATGCATTGCTCATACTAGAATAATTATGTAGACAATGGTTTTCATCGAGATAGCAATATTGGAATTCTCTTTTGTCACTGTTGAATAGCAGATGAGGAAATCTATTTCCTTAAATGAATCGACTCATCCTAAGAGAACAAGTCGACATATCCTCTGAACACATTTAATCGTTTAAGAATAGATCGAAATTTTCCTTCCTGACATAACTCGATTTATCTAATGGCTACAATTTATCATTGAGACATAGGTCAAATATTTTCTCCCTTAGATGACTCGACTCATTCCAAGAGAATAAATCAATATATCCTCCAACCACAGCTTATCACTGAGAAAAAGTCGTAAATTACCATCCTTTGATAACTCAGCTTCTCCTATTCAGATAACTCAACATATTCTCTGAATACAGTTTATCGTTGAGAAATCAATGGAAAAAATAATTTAAAAAATACGAAAAGAAAAATCATATTAGTATTAAGTAGTATATTAATTAAAAATGAATATACATAGGTGAATTGTTACACTTTACTCTTCTGGACAAACAACAATAAATCAAAGATAAACACATGATAGATTTTGCTGTAGACCGATACGACCAATGAACTTTTTCGGTCGCATCGGTTTTCCGTTTGAAATTCGGTCATTTATCATTACCCTTAAGCCTGCTACATAATCATTCACGACAAATAAGATCGACGCATGTGATTTTAGTGTGTATTGATAGGTTTTTTCATTAGTTGTCTAAAAGATAAATCCTAATAACGACTTAATCTCGCATTTATAATGATTCAAACTTATTCATGAAACAAACAAACCTAACAATGACATCTTGCTCTTGTGAAGAGACACAACAAAAAGAAAATAAGAAAAAAGTAATAATGAGAATCTTTTTTCTTTTACATACACCCACTCTAGAACAAAAAGTTAAAAATGTTTTCTATTCCTGCATTTGGGTTGAAGAAAAGAAGAAAATAAATGACATATTTTTGAATGCACTGCACATTTATTCAAGCGTGATTCGACAGAATATCATTAGATGTAGAATTAAGTAAACTACCACATACTACTAGAATAATGATTAATTATACTAATATAATATTATGAATGAAAGATTTTCTTTTGAAAGACTCTTCGAAACTTAATAGTGTATTGTGTAACTACGAATTTAGATGAAATGATGAAGTGTGTGGGAAAAAGAAAAGAGCTTACATATTCATCTGCACTACATAATTCTCTATATATCATTCGTATGAAAAAAATGGATCCGAATGAATTCAAAAAAGTACTGCAGAGGTATCTTGCCTACGATTATTCCGCTCCACAATGAGGCAAAAGTGCTCGAAGTCGACAAGAGTGTGTTTTGCATCTGAAGTGTAGCATTTTTTGCTACTCCCATCTATGGTAGAATGCTTTTTTCTCCGTGCAAAATCGATTTTCTTTTGAACAAAGCATTTTTCTTTGAATTCTTCGAAAAGTTACTAGAATTTATCTGTTTTTTCTGACACTCTCCGGAGGTTCTCAAAGTAACGAATATGTTTAAGAAAATTCAACTCCACGTTTACAAAATAAAAGAACGCTCCCACTGACAGTGTCATATTGTCTAATAACTTTGCCGTAAATTCGAAGAGGAAGTTTTTCAAAAATAAGCAACCTAATCGGATCTTTGTAATAGAAAATCGAGTAAGTAGTTCACTATCAGTCTTGATAAATATTTCTATTGAGATATTTTCCGTCTCAGGACAATTTTTATTCATTTTCAACACAATTTTGCAAGGATATAGAAGGATAAATACAATACAGACTTATAGAAAAGAATAAATGAATTAACTAAAGCTGATTTGAATATTAATACAATCTTGATTATATATACTTCATTTGATAGTATAAGATTTAATAATAAAAATATCAAAGTACAGGGGTGTCCCGAAGCTTCCAACTTTGGGGGGCGCAAGGCATATTTTTCAAGAAAATCTTGCAGGCAAAGTGTAAAATTTTGAAAAAACTTGACTTTTTCGCTTGTAAAGCCAAAATTTTTTAATTATGGGAAGGGGGTGTCTCGCCCCACCTGCCCTACTCCTCGGGACATCCCTGTCGGAGTAACTAAACTATCAATCATGTTATTAATTGTGTTCAATCAACTGTGACGTTTTGTTCCTATACATAGAACATCTTCAGACACAAATAAGTAGAAATGACAAATTTTTAGAGAGAAAACAAAAGCCAATCAAACGTAAACATCGTTTCTTTTTCTTTCTGTGAAAACATTCCAATGCCAGGGGTAGAATTTATTCATATGCATTGGAATGTTTCTTCCCCTTGTTTGTAAATATAGATAGCATTAATTGTTCATTTTTCGGTGTTCAACAAATATACGATTGGTTCTTGAAAATCAGTAATTCGTGACTGTCAGCGATCACGTCGCTCTCGCTTCTTTTCTTTTTTATTGCACTTGTTCTTTGAAAGAATGTTATTGCAGATAACATTCTTTTTTCTTTTTTCTCTCTGCTTCCATGTGTTATATATACATGTGTGCCTTTTAGAGCAGTGATTCTTTTTTTTCAAGTAGTTTTTTTGTTTTATTGTGTAGTTTTTATTTCATTTCAAATACATTTAATATTGGGCAGTTTCTCTTAACCTCTGCAGACGAGGTATAGGCCATATCATAGAGAAAGCTCACAGTGACTAACTTTAAAATTTTTCATAAATAATTTTGATAAAATTAAACCTTATACTTAAAACCAAAAATTTCTTCCGTTGTAGAAAATGATGTTTTAATCATACTTTTAATTTTATCGCACATTATTATTGTTTCATTTCCATAATATGTAAGGGATATAAATAATTTTTTTTTAATGTTAACTGCATTGTTATTTTTAATTTTCTGATATTGATCAGTAGTATTTTTAATTTTTCTGTTTACTAGATTTGTTGGAAAACCGTTTTTATTAATGTTTCTTTTATTAATTCGCATTGTTTGTTTAATAATAAATCAGATGAGCAAATATTTAAAGCTCAATATGTTAATGTTTTTATTAAACTAATTTTATACTTTTTGGCTTGGCATGATTGCCAATGTAGTAATTGACTGGTACTAGTCTCAGTTTTATAAACAGTTGTTTCATATTTTGTTCTTTGTTTTGATACTTTTGCATCAAGAAATGGTAATTCATAATTTTTCCCGACTTTACAGGTAGAATTTAATTTTGGATGAAGTTCATTAACAAATTTAACTAATTTTTCTACACCTGATTCTTTTCCATTGAAAATTATGAAAGTGTCGTCGACATATCTTAAATAAATTTTGATTCGATCTTTATGTTCATACTGTTCTAATTTCTTTTCAATATGCGTCATGAAAATATCTGCAAGGGTTGGTACGAGTGGTGAACCCATACTGACACCATCGACTTGCATACATAATTTTTCATAAAAACGAAAATGAGTATGGGTAACAGCTACTTCAGAAAGGCTTCTTAAATCTTTTGGTGTTAGGGTGTGGGTGGGTGCGGGTGTGGGTGTGGGTGTGGGTGTGGGTATGGGTGTGGGTATGGGTGTGGGTGGTTGGGTGTGGGTGTGGGTGTGGGTGTAGGTGTGTGAGTGAAAGGATAATCTATACCCACACCCCCACCCCCCCACCCCCCCCCCCAC